ACAGTCCTGCGTCCCTTAACTAACCCCCCCACCATTCCCGCTCGGCTACGCACTTGAGTTCATTATTATGATATTTGGTGTCAGCGCCATCCCCGGGACCTGCTGCCTGATTGCCTGACTACCCCAACCACTGAGTACCACTCAGTGCATCTCTGGTCTGTTTGTGGCTGCTGCTGTTGTTGTTGTTGTGGGCGAAAACTCAATTATAACAATATGCTCAGATTTATTTCAGCCCAACTAGGTTTTTAGCCTAATTTTGTTGTTGTTGCCCTTTTGGTGTTTTTCAAATTCAATTTGTTTGAAGCTACCTGGTCGACGCACCACATCGCACCACCGCAAACAATGCAGCGGATGAGGCAGCCCATTAAAAAATATGATATGAAAATCGAGTCGGCCATAAACTACTCGTTGGCCATAACTATGAGCTAATAAGCCGACTCAGTTCGCTGCTGCTGCTGCTGTTGCTGTTGCTGCTACGAAAATCAAATTCCAAATCAAAACAATGAAAGTGGAGCACAGCCAACAACGTCTTCATCAGACTCAGACTCCGACTCCGACTCTGCCCCTCTGCATACATCTCAATCACAAACTCAATCTTCATTTTTTTTCATCTATTTTTTTTTGGTTAAAGAAATGCCTGCTAATCATCGCACAATGAAATAAATTACAAACATTGTTCGCTTTTGTGGCCATAGTCAGCTCTGATCATGAGCTCCATTCTCCCCTCATCCCTCACCCGTCCCCCTGCTAGCTGCCTATCCTCGCCCTTTCTCGTACCCGCTGTGAAAATTGAAAAGCGCTCGAAAGTAAATAGAAAACGTTCAGATTCAAAACACTGAGGCGCAAAGATTAACACCAGCCTCTGGGCCAAGTTTCAAGCAATGATTCCAAAGAGTGTGAATAAATTAAGGCATCAAGATCATAATACCAAACGATCGGCCACGATAAACACTTTGATTAGCAATGTATGTGTATATGTGTGTGTGTGTGTGTGTATGTGTGTGTGTGAGTGTGTGTGTGTGAATGGCAACTCCCGCTGCGAAATTGAAATGGAAGCGGCAGCAAAACGAGCCAACAACAATAAGAGCAACAACAACGAACCAAAAAACCAAAACTTGAACCGAACCATACAAAAAAATAAAAGAAAATGACAAGAGTGTTGCAGTCAGCACAGCACGGCTAAGAGATACCCAGTACCCATTCCCAAAATACTTTAAGCCTGCTTCTATTCCAAAATCTCAATCATTTTGATGCTCTTCAAGTAACTTGTTCTTAATACAGAAATTGGATCGTTGATACCCTTTTATGGATTTGAAATGGGTGCAGGGTATGAAAGCCAAATAACAACAAGAAAAACAACAGCAACAACGGCAACAACAACAACAAAAAGACAAATTATGAAGGTTGCGGCTCAAGAGAGCGGCAAACACCAAAATGCCCCATAATTATGACAATCAGTTGTTGTTGCTGTTTATGATGAAGCGTTAATCCGCATTGTTGTTGCGCTGTTATTCAGTTGTTGGCTTAAGAATCTGTTACAGAAAACTTAAAAGCGTCGCTTTAATAACTTTATTGATTTCGATTAAGCGCTATAACGTAGCGTGCACATCATCTCGGCTCGAGCATATCAATATTTATGTTCAGTTTGGGAAATGGTCTAATCTTAATGCTTGGCATGCTACTTTTGGGTAATACACAATATACAATATAGATATAAATATTCATATATGTATATACATATATATATATAGATACATATATCATATAGAAGGTCACATACCTTCTGGTACATGGTATTCTTCTTTGGGAATTCGCATGGCCAACCTGGCAAATTTGATGGGGTACATAGACCAAGGCACATAAGAGTTATGTTTTCAACTTATCGAGTTTCGAGAACGCAGAGTATAATAGTGACAATAATTAGCTTAAGGTGTTTGTAAGCATTATGATATCGTATGTAGGTAGTCCGGTGAGTCGAGGCTGGCAGACGCATCGCCATACAGCGCTAAGCCCAATAAACAACAATTCATGAACAATAAGGCAAACAAAAATATCTTTTCAACTCAATAAAACCCCATTTACAATTCTCAGATACACAGGCAGTCCAGATACGGATACAGATACAGATACAGATGCAGATACAGCTACAGAAATACATGCTACATAAAAGGTGAATCCGTAAAATTATGAGTCAAAGCAGAGAGTTGTGTTGTTGTTGTTGTTTTTTGGTTTTTTTTTTTTTTGTAAGGAGGCAGTTGTGGAAAATATTTAATGAAAAACGTGTGAAGAATAGTTAAAAGGCGACCAATTTGATTTGCATCGAAAAGTAATTGAGCCACAAAAGTTATGGACGCTCGACGGGGGCACACGACCACGAGCACCAACCACACGAAAAGGCCCAAATACTCGAGGATCGCATCAAAGGGTTGCGGGGGGGGGCAGTGGGGTGAAGGGGGAGCTAGCCGAATGTTAAGATCTGGCAGCTGTAAGCTGTGCTCAAGCTGCCCAAGAAACCACACTCACACAGAAACACAGAGAAAAGGAGAGACAGATAGAGATAGAGAGAGAAAGAGAGAGAGAGAGAGAGAGAGGAAATCTTTCAAATCATGCACAATTATTAAAATACATAAACGTAATAATCATATCAACAGGGCAGCATCGACAACCACAAAGGGGGGCAGCAACACGCGGAATCATTAACAGCATGCAACAGCAACGGCAACAGCAAAAGCAGCAACAACAACAGCAACAATAACAACAACAATAACAAGCAAAGCGCGAACACTGAAAAATTAATAAGCAATAAAATTGCCATGAAATGAACTCCACAAATTCCCATGAAAGCGGCCGCAGTTGCCGTCAACGTCGACGTCACGCTGTGCAGCAGCAGCGGCAGCAGCAGCAGCAGCAGCAGCAGCAGCAGCACAAGCAGCAACAACAACAACAATAACAACGACGACAGCAACCAGTTAAACTTATCGGGCTTAAAGTTTAAACGGTTAATTGTAGTGTACCGCAAACTTGTGCCCCCAAAAAACTGAATGCAAATTCAATTGACACATTTCGTGGCATGCAACGTCGACTTCGGTTCGGTGTGTGGCAATAGGAGAATGGGAAGTTGGTGCTCAGGAGCTTGTTGATCAGCTGCTCCGCCAGCACGCCACCAATTAGTTTTAGATCCAAAATGTTACTTTAGCCACAGGATATTGGTCCTCTATAGGTAGTAGCAATTTTATCCCCATTGTTTAGATACAAGTAACTGTATAACGTATAAAATACTCCCTATATTCGGCCTCCCGACGAAACCATTTAAATCAGCTCTTTCTAAGGTTCGAAGAGGTGGGAGCAATTTGGGAGACATTGCCAGACTGAAATCGATCCAAATATGCTAAATTTTATGCTGATCTCACACTGACTATATCTAAATATCAATATCAGTAAATTAAGCTATACATATATGCATATATATATATAAAGGCAGGCTCCATCTGCATCTGGTCGAGGCAGTTAAGGCATAAGCCTAAAAGGTTGTCTTTAAGGGCTACGTTATAAAATCGTTTCAACGTTATTAAATCGTTTTTCTCACCATTTTTATGGCTATTGGGTATATATATATTTGATAGCGATTTGATTTTGCGGCCTAGATGAGCAGGTCTCTCACAATTTCGCCCTCCTTTCTCTCATTCTCCAGCGGGAACTTCATTTGGAGTTGCTTTGTGTGTGTCGAGTAATGTGGCATTTTTACAACTGGCAATTGATTTGTTTATACCATATTTATATGTGACAACTGACAATTCGATTTTTAATACGTTGCATAAAAATCACGACTCTATTAACGGCACATTCCGCTGAAATATTGGAAAAGTCTAACAGAAAAAATAAAAACACTTTGGTTTCATTTATGCGTATTTCTCATGACATTTTTATAATGTTTTTTTTTTCTTTTTATTTTATTTTATTGAATTCTCTGCCAATTTTATTTGGCAAAAAAAAATAATTTTTAAGTGATTTCTTTTATTTGTTTTGTTTTTACAATTGATTTTATATTTTTGTTGGACAATAATTTTTGTTGTTTTTTAAATACAATATATGTACTTTGCATTCTATTTGTAATATTTTGTTGGGTGTCTCATATGTGTTATATGTACTTCTTCATCTTCATCTTCATCTACTTCTCCTTCTCCTTCCACGAACTCATCAGTTTGCATTTCTTCTTGGTTTTTACAGCATAGTCGTTTAATTGGGACAAAAAAATTCATTTATTTTAATTTTTTTCCTCTTTGCTACCATATAGTTTAAATTACATTTTTACAGACACACTCACACACTAGCACACACACACACACACTCGCTCAGGCATACAGACAAAAAAAAAACTTATTTTCATATAGTTATTAAATATGTATATATTTTATATTTATCGTAAATATTACCATTTCATCTTATAAGCATTGCTTAGCCACACGACAAAAAAATACAAATAAAATAATAAAATAATAATAATGAAAAGAATACAATTGTTGCTTTTATTTTAACTTAAAAATATTATAAAATGCGCGCTACGAAGCTAATTTTAGTCTCTCTTGGAACATTACAAAGTACGAAAAAAAAATAACTTGGAATAAATAAAATCACTTAGCAATATTTAAGCTCGGAGCCCAGAACTGGAGTGCAAGTGGAAGATAAAAGAAATGAGCAAAAATAAACTCCTAGTCGATAGTCGATCGATTATGCATAGATTAAAGATTAAAGAACCCGAGAAAAACAAAAGCACGAAATGAGCAAAAAACACATTTAGGAACTCATAATTCAAATGACAAGGAAATATTTATAGTATCTTCATCTTCTTCTTCTTTTTTTTTTTGTTCTTTTTTTTTTTGTTTTCTTCATGTTTAAATTAAAAGACAGCTTCAACTGCGCCACCCGGCCAAGTTAAGATTGAGGCGAGCCCAGCTGCAGTCCCAGTCCCAATCCCAGTCGCAGTCCCAAACCCAGTCCCAGTCCCAGTCCCAGTCCCAGTCCCAGTTCCAGTTCCATAACCAAACCCAGTCTAGTTGCGGGAGTGCCTCACGTGTTGTTAAAGAGCAGCGATTCAATGCTGAACGGATTGCTCCGTCGCATACTGATGGGCGAGGTCTGGTGGACGAGATTGGCCGCTGCCGCAACTGCTGCCGCCGTTGCCGTTGCTGCCGCCGCCGCCGCTGCGCTGTGGTGCTGTGTGTTTTGCAGGTTAAGTTGATGGAACGCCTTGGCGGGGAACAGCAGCGATTTGGGTGATGCCGATTCCTGAGCCGACAACGAATCCCGCTCCTCTGGCTCGCCAGCCTCCGACGTCTCCGAGTGCATGTAACCACCACCACCACCTCCACAACCACCACCACCAGCAGCACCAGCACCACCACCTCCAACGCCACCTGCTCCATTACTGCTGTTGTGCAGCGTTGGTGGTGCTGCGGAACTGGGACTGCCCAAACTGCCGCCGCCACCAATATAGCTGCCGGCACGCGAACTATCCCCATCGGCATCGAGGCCGCCACAGTGGAGCAGACCATGATGGCCGGCGCCCAATCTAGGTGGACTGACGGCATCGCTGTCCAGTTCATCGTCGCTATCGGTGCCGCCAACCACATCGATCTGTATGCCATCATCCTCCAGATCGGAATCGGAGAACGTTCCATTCGCCTTATGCTGTGATATGTATTCGGCCTTAAGCGCCTCCAAATCCACCGTTATGCCCTTGGCCTGCAGCTTGCGCGCCTGCCTATCGATCGCCTTGGCCAGCTTCTTGCGCCGTCGCGCGCTGCAAATACAACACGGGAGAGAGAGGGAGAAAGAGAGAGTGGTAGAGAGAGATAGAGAAAGGCATAACTTTAGAATCAACCACAAATGAATCACAACAATTATATAATTATTATTTCTTAAATTCAAAACCTTTTCTAAAAAAAATAATATGGAAAACCAAAAAAATCATAAAAAAAATAACAATTCGATTTTGGATTGCTTCATCTGCCAAATTGTTTGGAAACATTTGTTTATTACTATGACAATAAATGATAACAATTAAAAGGTACTCAAAATCAAATTTGACAAATATCATTGTGTGAGAAGGAGTCAACTCTATAAACAAAATATGACTACAAAAATGATGAGATCAACATTGAATATTCACTAAGACTTTTGTCCCCATCTCAAGTCGAAATTTAGATGATATGTGTGTGTAGAAACTTACCGCTCCTTGGCCTTAAGCTCGTTGGGAGGAATTGGTTCGCCGCTGCATGTCTGCGGCTGTGCATTGTGGGCGGGTCGTCCTGGACCCTTTTTGGTGTGCTCACGCTTACGCACCTTGGCACGTCGATTCTGGAACCATACCTATCTGGAACAAAGCGTATAATCTCAGCAAAGATGCTCGCCAAATCAACCAATCAATCAATCAATCCATCAATCCATCAATTCAAACCAACGACAATTGCCCAACGGCTTTTCATACGTTTCATAATGTTTGGAATTGGCATTGGCATTGGAATTGGAACTGAACTCACCGCAACTCGCGACTCCTTGAGATCGAGTCGCATGGCGAGCGCCTCGCGCATAAAGATGTCCGGATAGTGGCTGGCGGAGAAGGCGCGCTCCAGTTCCTCCAGCTGCCACGAGTTGAAGTTGGTGCGCGAGCGTCGACGTTTTGCGGCGCTGCTGTCGTCATCGCCATCGCCTGGAAAGCCTGCAAGGATTCAATATTGGGCTAATTAATTAAAACTAATTGCGGTAGTCCAAACTAATAACTATGCACATCGAGTCCGAGATTCCCAAATGTGGGTTGGGCTGATAAACCGAAATTCGGGTTGTGTTTTGTGTTCTTTTAACATTAACCCTAATGGCAAACGCTTTGTTATCGCACCAAATAGCCCCCTAATTAAGTGTTGGAAAATTATTTAAATTAACTAAGACAACATACACACAACACAATACACACAACATACACACACAAACACACTCACACACACACACACACACAGATTGAAATATAGAAATACACATAAAATGCATAAATATTCATAATCATATATTTCAATTACAAACGCCCAGCATTGCCAGCAGTCCGAAGCGAGAGCTAATATATATATATATATATATGTACCAACACCCCTCGACGGTCCCCTCCCACTACCTACCAACCCCTCCCCTGTGCATTAACCCTTTATCCCATTTGGCCATATCCTGGCTGCAGTTCCCTTTGCCGTCGGCGGCTCGCAATAAAAACCAAACAATTTAATTACGTTTCTATTTCGCTCTTTCCCTTTGCCTCGCATAGTTTCCATTCATATATGCACATATATCTACCAAAACAGGGGGCGTGGAGCACACACACACACACACACATACACACACATACATACAAACACACACACACATGGAGACACACTCGCAGTTAAAGGTCCAAGCATGCAAAAGCTTGGCAATTTATCAAATTAACTGCGATCGGGCCAAGAGAATCGCTCGAAAGCCGACAAAAGCCAAAAGGTGTTGCTTTCCGAGACGATTTCGGACTGGCCAAAAAAATATATATAAAAAAAAAAACAAGAACAGCACAGGTCAGCTGCATAGAGATGCTGTGTGTCCCTTTTCAATAGTAGATGCAACAAAACAAAGAAAATAAATGTTCAATTCTATAATTTGTGACACAAAAACGTTTTTTTTTTTAACAAATGAATCCCAAGTATTCATTTAGTTTGAGTGTGAGTTCTACGTATTCATTTAGCCTGTGTTCAAGTTAAGTTTAGTTTTTGTTGTTGTTTCCAATGCAAAAGTTTTAAATATTTCTGAGACTTGATTCCAAGTTCCAGATGGGTTTCTCTCTACTATTCAATAGAGAAAGAGTTGCATTGCTTGCATAATGATTTAAATGCTACTCAATTGTGAATACACTCACTGTTTTTGGACACTATTCAGAGCGCGTGCCAACTTTCCCCAGGGCTAACAAATGAATGCACACAAATTCGATGCGATGATTCAAACGCATTCTGTTGAGACTGATTAATGTGCATATATAATGCATAAATACCGTTTGATATAAAATGCCAATAAATGCACTCATTATATTCATCTCAGTATGCACAATCATGTTGTATGCATACAACTTTTAATTATTCACACACACACACACGCATACACACGCATACACGCACACACTATGAATACGCCCGACTCATGCAATTTTGCCACTTTGTAAACATATCCTTAACTAATGCCAGAACCTCAATCTATACACACAGACATGCTCCCTACGTATAACATATACCCCCTGCCTCTGGGGCACGCCCCTAATGAATGGTTCTGTGCCGTTTGCTGTTAAGTGTATCTAATTATGCGCAAGGCGCTGTTACGTTTTGCCGCGCTTTGCAAAAGCGACAAAAAACTCGTTTGTTTTAATCGACGCGACGCGACGGTCAGCTTGAGTTTGTTGTGTGTGTGTGTGTGTGTGTGTGTGTGTGTGTGTATGTGTGTGTGTGTGTTAATAACTCAATAACAACACCAAATACACAACAATAATAGAGACATTAAAAGCAAAGCGACAAACGGCAAGCAAAACGTTTCGGGCCAACCGAAAGGGCGCAGCGTTGCCACATTTCACGAGTGTTTCGAGTGCGAGTGTGAGTGACTCGCATGCACACAAAGTGCATTCAAATGACTTAATAATAACCAGTCGGAGAGTTTAGTCTGACTATGTGAGTGCACATAAAGGGGATGTGTGGCTTGTTGGTTGGTTGGTTGGTTGGTTGGTGTGGGTGGGGTGGGGTGCGGGGGTCACGCCTCATTTGTGTGACTCGTGCTGAAAAAAGATAATTGATTTTGATTATGATTATTGCGCCCACCGTGCACCAAGGGCCAAGTGCCATGTGCAACGACCAATATGCAACGATGGAATGGCCACAATTTGCCACCATCATCATCTCTTGTGCAATTTGGCAACGCTGCTGCAAACTGAGAGACCTGAGAAATGGGAGCGAAACGAGTTGTGTATGTTTCGGTGTGTGTGTTGTGTGCATGCCACAAACACATTCCGTGGCATGCTACCTTCGTTTACAGCGCGCGTCAGCCAAGCAATATAACAGTTACACACCCCTAACCGACCTCACTCCACCCCACACCCCCCACGGACAAGACGCGCGGGCCACTTAAGTCATAAAAATTAAGGCAACTACAACAAAAACCAAAGCAAAACGGAAAGAAGGAAAATAAAAACAACAAAAAAAACGAAACTCTTTGGCCCTGTCCACATTGAAGTTAAACGCAACAACAACAACAACAACAACAATTTGAGGAAAGGGTGTGCCAACTTAAATGGGGATAGCGATAGGGATGGAGGTTGGGAGGTTTCGGGTTGGGAATGGTGGCGGCTTCCTGGTATTCGTAAGAGGCTTAAACTTAAATGTAGGCGAAAAGCAAATGATTATTGACCAAATTGTTGTTGTTAGAATTTTGAGCTTGCGGCAAGCTTATCAGAGCATGCCAATTGAATGGGCAACGAAGCGGGTACTCACTTCTATTCACTCAATTTTTGAATGAATGTGTTTTCTTAGTTTGCATCTGACTTATCTGAGCTGTCTAATAATTCTCTTAACTCCTTTATCCCAATTTTTGCATGTATTTCATGCATTTGAGTTCGCTTTATCAATTCTTCTTTGTTTGTTTCGTAAACGTTTCCACATTATGCTGAGTGACTCTTATGCATAGATCATATAAGCAGCTCTTAGCCCGCTTTTACAGTTTCTATCTATATTTGCTTATGTTTTCGTCATCAAACTCTTCTCAATCTCTACCAATCTCTTAGTTGTGGAGCATTTGCTTTGCTTTTTCTCAGGATTCAATACATCTCTGTGTCGCATCCGTACAAGTTTCTATCCGAAACCGATCGAACGAAAGCATTCTTGCATGCATAATATATAATTAATATAGTAAATTGTATTGCAGGTAAACTTGACTTCCGTCCAGTTGGGGGGGGGGGACCCTTCGCTTGACCCAAAAACCTCATTACGAGACGGAAATACTTTAAAAATTGAAATCAAATCTATTTGCCAGCAGCGATTCATCATCTGTCAGTCGTCGGTCGGCAGTCGTCAGTCGTCAGTGTTCAGTTCACAAGGCGGAAGTGCTTCTGCTTCTGCTGCTGCTGCTGCTGTTGCTGTTGCCAACTCCTTCAACTCATTTTGAATTCATTACGAGCGAAAAAAAAAACAACAATGAAAAGCAAACAGTGGCTGGGGCACAACAAGAAGACGAGGAAGAAACAAAATGGCGGCGCCAAACGAAAAATCGCATGATAAATGATTTCGATCGTTTTATGACAGTTTCTTCATTTCCGGCATGAAATGAGCAAAAGCAACCCAAAAAGAAAACCGGAGCATGGCCATGTGACTGATGGTGATGTGTGTGTGTGTGTTGTCGTCGTCACTACACCAACTCCGCCCCCCTCCCTCTCCCCCCTTCCCACTCCCTGCACCACCTACCGTATTTTAGTTAGTGTTTTTTTTCTTTATTTTTTTTTTAGCTGAGCAAAATGATTAATGAGCATTGGCAACGGCACAAAAGTGAAGCGAACCCCTGCACCACAATGCCGAACCGATCCCAACACCCACCCAACGGCAGCCACACCACACCACGCCCACAGACGTGTGTGCGCCCACGTCTGCGGCGCCGACTTGGAGTCCCACCAAGCGGGACTGACTATCTTCTGCCATCGCGCGTTGGCTAATCAAATTGAATCAAATCAAATTAATAATTGCTTTTTAAAATGGCGACGCAGGAAGTAGGCGCTGTCTGTCCCCAACACATGTCCCCCCCTCTCCAACCAATCTCTCTTCCCCTCTCTCTCTCTCTCTCTCTCTCTCGCTCTCTCTCTCTCTCTGTCTGTGTGTGATTCTATGTGGTGAGTGGTGCTTGGCTTGGCAATTAATTAAACATTCCCCCACAACCGTCGCGGCAAAGTGCAGTTAATAACCAGCAAAAAGCTGCTCACTTCAAGAGCGCACCTTGGAGGCCACGCCCACAGGCAAACGCCCCCCGTCGATGGCATTGGGCTTACACGACGTCGTATCAACGCATTGGATATGTGCATTACGACCATAATTACACCAACTAGCCATCATTTGTTAATGCTAATTGGCCAATGAGCCGCGGCTCTTGCTTTTGCTGTGGCTCTGACTTAAGGACGCCTCTTGGCCAGGCTTATTTGGCCCGCTGAGTGTTTGAGTTGGCAATCAAAACGCAACTAACTCAATTGTCGGGCCTGAGCTCATCAATTTGGCTCAGTGATTACTGTCCAGCAAATGAAATGCGTTCTTGAAGCCATGGCAAATCAGAGAAAGAAAATTGGTTTTCATTTCCCCACAACGAGACTTGGACGGGAAAACATTTGTTATGATTCAATAAATAATTAACCGATTATTAATGAATAACGATAATGATCATTTTTCACATTAAGCAACATCATTATTATAGAAATAACAAAGTTCAAGCTTATAATAACAGGTGTAAATAAGTCGAGGAATATCCAAAGTAAGGATTAAGCTAACCGAAGATGATTGAATTTATCACGAAATAATAACATAGAGTGGCAAAAGTCCAAATGTATATTGTAATTATGTATTTTATATTCATTATGGTGCACTCTAGCTAAAGCTTCCCAATCGATAGACTTAGATTGGATTCAAGGCGATAAAATATAAAAAATAGTCCAATGGCTATTCTTGGCAATCAATTTTCAAATTGGACTGATTGTTCCTATGAAAGCTGTGTAATATAGTGGTCACCTTACATGCAAGAAATCATATCATATCAGAATATAGGAAATGTGCTTAAGTCCTCAAATGTTTACAGTCTAACAAGAGATCCAAGATATTAAAAAGTTGACTGCAAAGAATATAGCAATAATTTTAAAGTTAAAGATCTCTAGTTGTCTAGTCTATAAAGTTGAGGGTATTCATTATAAACTGACCTAATTTGACATTTGATGATAGAGCTTAATTTTGAATATTGTAATAAATTCAACAATTCAGTATGAATCATTAATAATAATACTATTATAGACTGTCGCATATTATTTAAAGAATTCGAGATTCTTTGTGATTGTGAATGAGAAATGCTTGTAGACACTATACTTAAAATTTGGCTACCTCAGATGTGACCATTTCTATTATTGTCATTCATTCAGATGGCGATTCGATTTCCAATTCCAATTCCAATTTGAATTCGAATACCAATCTCGAATGAGTTTCAATCGCTCCGACCTTCAGCTCTCACAGCAGGCATCGAGGCATCGAGTCGGGCAGCGATATTCAGATCATGTAATAGTTCCCCGGGCCAAAGCTACTTTGTATGCAAAAATCAATCGGATTTTACATAATAAGCGCTCGCTGATTAGCTAAATCAATAAATATGTTTTGTAGGTAGCAAAAGTCAAGCGACTGGCAAAACTGACAATCCAAATACATTTAGCGCACCGACTAATTGAATGAATTAGCATATTGCGTCTCGCTATTGATAACGACGACCAGGAATAGTCTCAATCACAAATACAAATCTGTCTCTCTCTTTTTTTCGCTCTCTCTGTCTCTTTCTCTCTCTAGACTTCGCAATAAATTATAATGCGTTAGCCAAAAAGATTTGTGAATCGAACAAAAAATCCGCAAAAAATGAGCTCAAATAAATTTGGCACATTTTTTAATTAGGAGTTTGTCGTCGCTTGACCATGAATAGATACATAAATTGATTTCTTGCGAATCCGAAATATGATCAAAATCTGGGCGTGCTTCACTTTTGTCTAACTATATTTCTCAAGAATTAAATTGGATAATAATGAGCTATATTAAATTGATAAATTTCTATAGAAGAATTTCACTTAATTTTCTGATTCTAGTCTACTTTTGAACAGGTTCAATTTTTGAAAGTACTTTTTACGAGCATCTACATATAATCTTAATGTAGGATATATTGATTATTATGATGGAAATAGTTCATTATGATTATAATTGTGGAAATAGTTTACCAAAAATGTTGTAAAGGACCTGCGATTTGAAGTTGATCAGGCTGATTTCTAAGAAGAAAAAGAAAGATAAGAAGAATTCTTAAGGTCTTTTTGAATGATCATCATCATATTGGTATACATATGAGCATTTAAGGACATATGTATACATAGGATGTATAGAATGAAAACGGGATTTTATATGACGATCATAACATCTTAATTACAATTTGTCTTTCGACCTTTTTCTGCACCCAAGATCTCAAGCTAATAGAACACAATCTTGGGCTCTGTCAATGATCCTGTATGCAAATACAAATTCAATAATAAATAAATGCTAATACAAAGTTGCAAATATTTATTGAGAATCTAAACCTTAATCTTAATCATAATCGTAATGTTAACCTCAATTTAAGATCCGCAATCTCAACACAACAGTGTGCTCTTCAAAATGGAACTACAATTGAGAATATAAATCGATCGCACTTGATTGACTTGATTCTTCATTCTAGAATAAACGGACTCAATCTACGACTACGACTACGACTATATTCTTGGCTTAAGAGTGTTAACTTTGAATGGTGTTTTGCACTCGAAGCAGGAATACATTCTTCTGTCTCTCTCTCTTTGTCTCTCTCTCTCTCTCTATCTCTCTCCTTCTCTCTCTCTCTCTGTGTGTTTTTTTTTTTTTGGGAACTTACCGCCATCCTCGTTGGAACCCTCGCTGGGCGGTCCCGCCGGCGGCAAGCTCTGCCTATTACCGATCATGAGTCGATGTTGTATGGTTGCCACGGTGCTGGCAACGGCGGCAACCGCTGTCGTTTGGGCGGCGCTTACGTTGCGCAACGCTGCGGCACTGAGCCCGGTGAGATTTGCAAAGGCATTGCTGGCATTAACCGCTGCCATTTGGGTGGCAGCCGCTGCAGCAGCGGCTGTGGTGGGATGTCCGCCGGCGGCGGCCTCAAAACGCGGGCGGCCCAAAAACGGTCCGTTTGGTCCAAAGACGCCGGGCACCCCAAACTGCAGGAATGGTCCCCAGGGTGGTACGCGTACGCCGCCGGGCGCCAATTGTGCGGCGGCAGCATAGAGCTGCAGTGCAGCCGTCGGATGCAGTCCCTCCGATGGCATGGTGACGGCACTGCTGCTGCTACTGCTGCTGCTCGAGGCGCCGCTCAAACGTTGCTGCAGCTGTGGCGGCGTCGCTGCCAAATGGCTGTGATGCAGGAGGCTATGACTGTGATTCGAACTGTGACTCGAGCTGTGACTCGAGCTGTGACTCGAACTGTGACTTGTTCTTTGGCGCTTGACTTCCGGTGATGTGTTGTTGTCGCTGCTATTGTTGTCCTCCTGCTTCAAGCTAAAGTTGCTGCTGCTGCTGCTGCGGCTATTTTTGTTGCTATTGTTGTTGCTGTTGTTGTTGTTGTTGATGTTAGTGTTGTTGTTATTGTTATTAATATTGCTGAGCTTTTTGCTCTCCGTTGCGGCTGGTGTTGTTGTTGGCTGCTGTTGTTGTTGCTCTAGTACCATTATGGCCCAAATCTGCGGCAGCTGTTTAGGCCATGGAATGCCTTCAAGTTTTCAAAACGATAACAACAACAACAAAAAGAAGAAGAAGAACAACAACAACAACAACACAATTGAGACAGACACTCGCGAACTAAAAACCACGCACTAAACACTTAACACACACATACATGCATCAGTTGTGTGTATGTATGTGGATATGCACTTGTCGCACACTGGCGCCGCTTTACCGTTTACTTTCAGTTTTACGTGCTCAAAAAAAAATAAACAATGATGATGTGCAAGTTTTGCCGTTTGCCGTTTTTGCCGCTTGCCGTTTGCCGTTTGCCGTCGGCCGGCGTTCGCCCAAGGAATGCAAAAAACAAATAACACACACACGATGAATGCACTCCAACTAGTCCAACATAGTCTCAGAGCGCGCCTCTCAACTAAAAGCTTTAATAGTTGTCTCTGTGTGTGTGTGTGTGTGTGTGCCTGCCTGCCTGCCTGACTGCCTTCGAATGTGTATTAATGTGTGTGTGTGTGTGGGTGTTTATTTTTTTTGAGGAGAGAGAGAGAGAGAGTGCGGGGCAGCAGCAACAAGCAGCGGACGACGCAAGCGCTCGCAATGAAAATTCAATTTGAACTGAGCGCCGCTGACGACGCGCCAAGCGAGGAAACCAAAAAGGCGCACACACTTAGAGACCAGGCGTCAGCGTCAACGTCAACGTCAACGGCTGCGCGCGCCAAGCGCAGAGAGCGACACACGAAACGAGAGCAACAGCAAACAGCGAGAGCGAGAACGAGAGCGAAAGAGCGAGAGCGTGCAGAACAGAGCGAGTCAGACAGACAGCTGGGTATGCAATACGACAACCACCACCGAACCAACGAACCAACGAACCACCAACACCAACCCAAGGCAAGCAGCGGCAGAGATTGTTGCCATGTTGTTGCGGTCGCATTTAACTGTGTGCGTGTGCGTGTGCGTGCGTGTGTGTGTGTGTGTGCATGTGTGCGAGTGAGCTGGAAATTCATCAAAAAGCAACAACCACTTAATTTTTATATGCGCAGCGTCGCCTGTTTCAATTTTGATCAACTTGGCCACTGCTGCTGATGTTGCTGGCGTCGCTGCCGACGCTGCTGCTATTGTTGTTATTGTCCCTGGGTAATTCATTTCAAAGAATTGCTGCTATAACTGTATGCGTGTGCGTGTGTGTTGTGTGTTGTGTGTTGTGTGCTTGTGCGTCGCCATTTTCAATATGGAGTCACCAGTGGCTGGCGGCTGCAGTGAGAGCGAGACAAACAGCTGTTGTCTGAACACTTTCATTGGCTGTCGAAAGCTTTATGAATACTGGGAATTTTTCGCCAGCAACAGCGGCTAAGGCGCCATTGCCAAAAACGACTTGAAGAGTTTTCAATTTTCTTTGCATGTGAGTGTGCGCGCACATTTGTCTGTGTGTGTGTGTGTGTTTGTGTGTGTGTGTGTGTGTGTATGAGCAACTTTTCCAAGGGCGGAGTTATGCAGCATTTTTCAATTTGCGGCACATCAAATTATTATGCTCCACTCTGCTGCCGCTGCCAGCGTCGACGCAACGCAAAGCAACATTCAACTCCCAATCTGCTGCTACTGTTGTCCCCACACCCACCCATAAGCCCCCAACCCCACCCACCCCACGCTCCACCAGCTCGAACGGCAGCGCTTCGTTCGCTGCTCCCAATAACCATAAATGGCAATTTCGCAGCGCCAAATAGAAAATGAAAATTCGTTAACAATTAATTAGCAAACGATATTTTGAACTCAATTCCCCTGCCCCCAGCTGCCCCGTACTCCTCGCCCAAAAAACGCTGCCTTTCCCAGCATTTTTGGGGAGCGTTTAACGGGGGGCGTTTGTGATTCTTTTATTCATTTCAATTATATTGCGTGGAGACCTGCAGCTTGCATATACTAATATTATTATTATTTTTATTATTATTATTATTAACGTTTGTTTGCTTTTGCGCTCGAGAGCGAGCGAGATGGCAATAACTCGACACGAGGAGCAGACACAACGGCGACCAATTTGCTTTTAATTTGTTAACATAAACGCCTCGCACGGATCCCCATCCACCCACAGGCCCCCGGCCCTCCCTCGTCTACCCTTACTCCTGCTCTGCTGCTCGCCGGCAACTACAACTTCGGCTCCAGCTTCAAGTCGTGTGTGTGCCTGTGTCTGTGTGTGTGTGCGGCCTGCGCATGAATCATTCATTTTATAGCGCAGCTAACTGCGACGCCGACTGCAACATCAACAGAGCCGCTTCACTTAACCCATTTGGTGTACAGCAAGCCAACAGCATTCCCTCATCTCCAATTCCCCCACAACTACCCCCCCCCCCCACCGGATCCCTCCCCCTTCTGTCAGAAACGGTCAGTCGACCATCCAGCAAAGCTGGCTAAAAGCTGAGCAATCAATGTCATTGCTGCGGGGGTGTCTATAAAGCATATATTTTTTTCGTTTTGCCCCCAAATCTCTCGATAGCCACCCCCAAAAATAGCAGTGGTGCCACTCCCCAAACACACATAAAAATACATATATATATATATATATATATCTATAAAAACAGAAAAGAAAGCACATCGTGCAGCATCCCCTAAGCCTCCGCTCCGTTGCAGCACAGCCCACTGCAGTGTCAACTGTTTTGTTGGCAGGTTACTTAATTGCTCTGCTCTTTGCTCTGCTTCTCCACTGTCTCCCTCACTCCCTCTCTCCCTCTCTCTCTCCCTCTCTCTCTCGCACTCTCTCTCTCTCTCTCTCTCGATCCAGCTCTCCCACTCTCTCGCTGTGTATCTCTGTCGCTGTCAAGGTACGTTCCTTGTCACATGTGCGCCGTTGTCTGCTGGTGTTAATTTTATTAATGACATACAACGCCAGTGGTCCCCAACTCTCCACCTACACCCGCACTCACACACACACACACACAATCTTTTACCCACTTGCCTCACCTGGCAGTCCCTGTTTACGTTGTTAATACAATTTTCATGCGTACGAAAACTTAATTAATTCTGCTACAGTTTGTTGCAAAAGTTATTCCTTCCTTTTTTTTTGCCCGCAACTTTTCCCTTCTTTTTTTTGCAACCAAAATGGCAGCCGTCAGTTGCAATACCTTCCACTCGTCCACCCCTCCCCACGTCAAGTCGTCCAGCTCTTGTAGCAACGCCTTCGCCAAATCAAATGAATGAATTTTAATTATCTTTTGTGGTTGCCCTATCCTCACTGCCACCCCACAGCTCCCCCCCAAAAAACCTACAAAGCAAAAAAAAGAAGCCAAAAAAAAGAAGTGAAAAAGAAGAAAAGTTTTTGGTTAAGCGAAAAGTTTTTGGAGCAGGTAGCTGGCAAAGTTTTTCTGACTAGCCGGAAACAGGAACATAAGCCCTCGGGAAAGCTGCCTGCAAGAGCGGAAATAGTATGAAAAACAAGCAACAACATTAAAACATCAGAGTCGAGGACAACAGCAACAACAATAACAACAAAAAAATTAGCAGCAAAGGACAAGTTTCTTATAGCTTAAACCATATATATAAAAATACATATACATATATGTGAATTCTTACCTTATATATGACAAATATATGATGGGATACTGCTATTGGATAAGAAAGCATATGAGCTAATTTTAGGGACAGGGTTTCTTTTTAACTTTTTTAACTGGGCATAAGCAATTGTAAGATCTTCTTGGATTTAAGACAAAGATTAAGCGCATATACGATTTAAAATATATTTAAAAAATGAATATTTTATTATTATCTTTAAAAAGTGCGACATAAATCAGGAAAATATTCATTGAGTAGCTACAAACCTAATATATATTGTACATATCCATACAATAGACGTGCTCAACTAAAATACTGGGATATAAATGCCATGATATACTGGGAATTTGATGTTGCTCATAGTGGGACATTTGCCACAGCTAAGCACTGACTGCTAGCCTTGGCCAACTTGAGAGTGTTTGAACGAATTGCGGTTTGATTGTCACATCAAGTGTTCACAAGGGACGCCTAAGACAATGCTGATATATATATACACATATATATATATATATGTCTTCATGTATACATGTATATACAAATAAATATAAAGAAGAAGATGCTGATGCTGATGCCGATGCTGATAAGTCTACAGAGTACATGAAATTACAGAAACCATCAAGTTTTTGAACACAATTAGGATTAAGCATAGCCGCCTAATGGGGTGCCAAACAATGATGAGTTGATAAAAATAATAAGAGATTTTAATTGTTTTTGCATCCCAGCTGTACGAAATTTACAAAACTATTTAGAGCAGTATTCAGTCGAACATTCAAAAGATATTGGCTATTTGCATTTGTACTTTCAGTAGAAAAATCTATCTAAATTTTAGAAAAATGCCTTGAAAACTAGACAAATTTTCTTGCTTTTAGAAATAATTTCTAAATATACGAAAACAACAAATTTCCGCAAATCAGAAATATATTTCTTAATAATAGAAACTATTTCCAAAATGAAGAAATGCAAACCATTCATTTTATAATATAAAATTTGTGAAATTCAGAAAATAAAGTTTAGCTTCTGTCTGATCCGTGTAGATCAGTGGGAACTCTCTCAAACCACGAAAGAATGGTAGGGTTTTTATTTTAATTAAATTTATATGAATTTTGAAACTATCTAAAATGTTTGTATATGTGAAACATTAAAATACTAATGTTTAATATTAATATAAGTACACAAATAAAAAAAACACCTTAAAAATTAGACATATTTCTTCGGAATTTGAGAAATACCGACCATAGATTTAAGAAAAATAAACCTTGATTTATAGAAAAACTCAACATTTTATTTTCGAAATACATTT